ATACATATATATATATATATCATATAGACGGAGGAAACCCTTTACCGTTGTCATTGGTAAATACATATATATATATATATCATATAGACGGAGGAAACCCTTTACCGTTGTCATTGGTAAATACATATATATATATATATCATATAGACGGAGGAAACCCTTTACCGTTGTCATTGGTAAATACATATATATATATATGTCTCAAATAATACCAAAAAGCGTTAAGAACGAGGGTATCCAACTGATGAAACATTACAATATTTATACATAAAAACGGTATAATTAATTAGCTATAAACATTAGAGGGTATATTTTAATTTTTGATCTAAACAACTAACTGTTAATATTATCAGTATCAACAAACGTTTACATTATCTGACATCGTGTTGTTGTAGATGTGTAGCACTTCTTTAAGGTCTAATATTTTTTCCTTTAAGTTGGTTGTTGTTGAACACAAAACTACACATAATGGTTCAGGCCATATGCATAAATAAACAGGATGACTGGAACATGCACGTGAGACGCTACCTGTGTTTATTTATATCATTTGTATATCTTAGAACCTATTTTGAATAACATACCGATTAAGGTATTAAGCTGGATAGTGAATTGCATTATCGATATTAAGGAGGTTAATTCCAAGTTCCACTTTTTAAAATTATTTACATATATATTGGTTTAGATATTTTAGATTTCATTATGCTTTCCATACATATATGGGACGATAATCTGGAGTGGTATGAAAATGATCACGCTTTTAATTATCAGTTTTATTTTAGTGCTTTATGTAACATTATCTTCCCACAATTGTTGGTGAAGAATGAATACTGGGCATATTCGTGTGACGTTATGAGCTTTAAGTTCTAGTTTCATTTCATGAATGAGTCTTTTAACGGGTTCAGAATACACAGACGCTGAATATCCACCATTGTGTTGATCCTATTTGTTCAGATACCTTTTCTATTAGGATACATTATATAACTTCCTTTCTGTAGCTTGTACTTCATTTCTATCAGTCTTCTCTACACCTGCAACATTAATTTTTTTCTATTCAGTTATATTATGACTTCTACTCTGTAGGCTCTACACTAGATGAAATAGGCTCCCCCCCCCCCACCTACAAGTGTTACATTATTATTTTTTGTTATATTTATATACGTACTATTTTAGTGGTAAATTGGAATGGATCCACCTGTTCAGTTGTCCCTCTCCTTCTAAGTTAAACTATTTCTTTATTGTTATATCTATTGCTGCTTTTTCATTGATGATTAACTCACCTGCTGAATTCCTCAGCATTATTTCCTGATCTAGAAGTTGTTGGTGATACTACAGACTGCTTCGATTCCTCACGTGCTGAAATCAGTTCGTCCTTTAAACGTGACAGTGCTTTTCTAACATTCTGGTTCATTGGGGACAGACGTAAGGCCTCGGTGAGGTCATTAAGAGCAGCCTGCAATTGGCTGTAAAACAAATAAAAATTGAAATTGTATTCAAACAACATGCCTTGATAATATATATATATATATGTGTGTGTGTGTGTGTGTGTGTATGTGTGTGTATTGTATATATGTATGTAAGAAAGATCGTAAACTTTGATGTAGTGTAGTATAATGCTTTTGTATTTGTACAATTATATACACAAGAAAGAAAGGTCTCAACCCAATATAAATATATAAATTTAGCAGGTTGTAGAAAATATTTCCAAGCATGTCTAGCGATTCTGGATCCATCACCAGACTCCTAAAATTAACTAAAGCATTCAATATTACCTCAGTTCATTTAAGTAAATATTACCAGTAATACTGGCAGCATCATAACTGTATGAGAAATTGATAGTATTGTGGGTCTAGTCCTAACTTAACATTTTACCAGGTCTATGTACAAACATAACGAGGCGTTTAAGTATTTCTGTGTCATGATCTATTCATAATATAACTCCTTCCATGCTCGTACTGATCACGTTATGGTTGAATGTTGGTTTATGTTGGAATAAAAAAGAAGGTTATGGTTTCGATTCACAAGGAGCCTCCTCGGATCTTCCAGATTAATGTCAATCTCCGTCTCTTGTGGCTCGGGGTCAAATAAAAAACGAACTTCTGTTGTACTTAGGGAAGTTTGGGCAATAAAAATCGTGTTGAACGTCATACAAAGTTCGCTAAGAAAAAAACAAACAATTCTGAGTAAACACACGTTAAGAACCTCACCATCAGCTGTCAGGTTCAATTAGATTAATAATGATTTTTCTTTTATGAAAGTTGGTTGAAGAGTAGTTACAAATTTGGTTTTTGGGATACGAAACTCCTGTATCCTTTTTATTGTTTCGTATAAAGCCTGTTTTCAACATCGAGTTTTAAAATGGAGAAACCAAATATTTTCTGAAGATAATATACAGATACGTTCTACAATACTGTCATCTGCTAATCTTCCAAAGTCATATGTTTAAACGTCTGTGTTAAGCTCATTCTAAATTATAAACTGCATTAAAATACTGAAGCAACTATGTAGTTGAGACGATAAATAGTTGTCGGAAACAAAAACACGTTGCAAATACGGAGCTAATAAGTAGGTATTGGCCGCCAGATGGCGTTTCAGGGTAAGTTCCTTAATTGTTTGTAATTAAGCACAAAGCTACACAATGGGCTATCTGTGCTCTGTGCATCAAAACCCGGATTTTAGCGTTGTAAGTCCGCAGACATACCGCTGTGCCACTGGGGGGGCTATCGAATCGAACAAGAACAGTTTACAAATCTTAGTGTCAGAAAGCAAACATTACAGAGAAAACAAATCAGGGATTTCTACTGTCTAGTGTAAATGTTCTAGTGATGGTCAACAACTGACGTTCTTCTATTGCCAAGCACTCAAGTTTCTGGGTGCTCGTTCCAAACTTATGGCTCCTCCCTCTCCAAGGATAAGAAATAAACTTGAATTGCCTTTGATTCTCTACTAGACAGATATAACACCTTTTTCCATCTGCACCCATCTTGGTCGATAACTCCGTTTCTTTACTCTTCATTACGGCCTAACACTCTAGTTACCGCGATTTTCTACTTTTGGATGCAGGCAAGGCGGCAAGAGCACGTGTAATTCACGTGGTCGTAAAGATCGGGATAATGAGCGTGTTAGTTTAACTCTATCAGAAAGCCTCTAGATCAATTCCGCCACCATTTTTTTTCCTTCTTGTTCAGCTTCTGATTACTCGCCTTGCCAAGCATACACTTTGCAAACAGGCAAAATTATACGAGATATAATCAAAGACCACAGCAGTTGAACCAACTACTGCCTGTTGATATTAAGACAGGTATACGTTTGTACATATGTTCAAGATCTTTATTTCTCAGGCTCTTTTCAGGAAAAAGAAAGGTGCTGGTTATTATATGATTTAGGCACTATCATCTAACCAACAACAACAACAACAAAAAAAGACAAACAAATAACTTTTTTAGGTATTCGTACGTGCAAAGCATGTACGCTGAATTATATATTCAAATGCCGTGATAGTGGCTTGTACATGGCCAGGTGGTTAGGGCGCTCGACTCGCAATCTGAGGGTCGCGGGTTCGAATCCCCGTCCCACGAAACGTACTCGCTTTTTCAGCCTCGGGGGTGGTAGAATGGGACGGTCAATCCCACTATTTGTTGGTGAAAAAGTAGCTCAAGAGTTGGCGGTGGGTGGTGATGGTTAGCTGCCTTCCCTCTAGTATTTCGCTGTTAAATTAGGGACGGCTAGCGCAGATAGATTTGAGCGAAATTTAAATCAGAACAAACCAAAACATTTTCTATAAGATTATGAATTCCCGAATAACCAACGGAATTGAGACGATTACTCCGGAGATGCACCTCAGAGAAGATCGATTATCATCTCCACGTCCGTCGTAGCTACAAGAACGTTGCTATAACGTGCTAAAGACGCCACTGGTCGTGGACAAAATTGGGGTGTTATCCTCCATTAAACCATAATCTTGTGTAGTTCTCATTCTATTCAATTAATAAGGGGATTCATTAATTTGTAGACATTCTATAAATGTCTTTTATGTCAGTGCAGTATGTGTTTAGAGATAATGTAGTCTAAATTAACAGAAGTTTTATAAAGAATGGACACGAAACACCAGTGTGTAAATTTGGTTTTGGATTTTTTTACCTGAATTTAAATTGTTTCGGATGCATTTCAAATGAACGTAAGTCGTACAAAAACTGGTAACATTAGTCACATCTATATATATATATATATATATACACATATATATATAGATCTAAACGCCGTGTGATGTAGTGTTCGATGGTTGATAAGTCAGACACTAAACGCTCTGTGCTGTAGTGTTCGATGGTTCATAAGTCAGACACTAAACACTCTGTGTTGTAGTGTTCGATGGTTGATAAGTCAGACACTAAACACTCTTTGTTGTAGTGTTCGATGGTTGATAAGTCAGACACTAAACACTCTTTGTTGTAGTGTTCGATGGTTGATAAGTCAGACACTAAACGCTCTGTGCTGTAGTGTTCGATGGTTGGTAAGTCAGACACTAAACGCTCTGTGCTGTAATGTTCGATGGTTGATAAGTCAGACACTAAACGCTCTGTGTTGTAGTGTTCGATGATTGATAAGTCAGACACTAAACACTCTTTGTTGTAGTGTTCGATGGTTGATAAGTCAGACACTAAACACTCTGTATTGTAGTGTTCGATGGTTGATAAGTCAGACACTAAACACTCTTTGTTGTAGTGTTCGATGGTTCATAAGTCAGACACTAAACACTCTGTGTTGTAGTGTTCGATGGTTCATAAGTCAGACACTAAACACTGGCGCTATCTTTAGGGAAGACACAGAATATTTAATTACTGAAAATGAAGCTACTGATTTAGTCTTATATCGGACTAGAAGCTTGATGATATTATAACAAATGACTTATGGGCTAGAGCACAGAGAAACAACGTGGACTCGCCTTTGGATTTTAATTGGAATAAGACTGGTATCAAATTACTAGGAATACGTTTTTCTGGGCAACTCTTGAAGTTGCTTATCAAAAACGGATTTAATTAAAGAAGGTTTCGGAAAGTATTTTTGCTAAATGTAATCGACTGTTTCACTATTTATTTGTGGTAGAATGTTAGGGTTCGGTCAAGCTGTGGTCAGTAGTTTTGGGATAATCTACAAGCTTCAGAAGGGTTCAGTCAAGCTGTGGTCAGTAGTCTTTGGGATAATCTACAAGCTTCAGAAGGGTTCAGTCAAGCTGTGGTCAGTAGTCTTTGGGATAATCTACAAGCTTCAGAAGGGTTCAGTCAAGCTGTGGTCAGTAGTCTTTGGGATAATCTACAAGCTTCAGAAGGGTTCAGTCAAGCTGTGGTCAGTAGTCTTTGGGATAATCTACAAGCTTC